CAGCAGACACCCCGGGACCACATAGCTCAGTGAAGCCAGCCAGTTGTTCCTGAGGAGTAGAGGCCTTCAATCCACGCCCTGGTCTCACAGGCTGCGCAAGGGTCTTTCTTATCATGAAGCCTCAAATAGGGCATTTGGTTCTAATCCCCTCAAACTGGGTTAGGTCCCTTTTCATTCCGGTTTAGCCCATTAAACTAAACAAGAAGGCAGGACACCCTTCTTTTTCTTTCTGTCATGGAGGACTGTGTGCAAGGTTAAGGGTCAGCACACTTTTTAGGAGTTCTACGAGTCTATTTCAAGGCTCCAAACTCATGCAGATTCAGTCAGAGTTCATGTGCTTGACAGAGCAGGAAAGGGGTCCCCAAAACTCTTTGATGACCTATTCACTAACGGCCTGTTAACTTTCAAAGCAACCCTAAGTGCTGAGTGATTCGGGGTAAGTCTACTCTGGGGATTTTATCTGATGGACACAGTGAAGGGGTCATCAGAGTGCTTTCCGAAAAATCAGAATCTGAAGACGTAAATTCCAGGCTGGATATTCTTTAGTGCAATATATCTTGCACAGCCAGAATTTTACTTTCCCCCATACCGTAAACTGAAATAACAGTTACAAGCAGTATCGAAGACCTACTTCTTGCCCCAAACTGAAAACGAAGACTTGGGAGTACTGAGAAACCTTCATATATATTTGGCAAATAGAAAGCAAACTGTCCCTTCTCAAGAAGGTCAGAAATGCAACACCAATTGAAATTCACACTCTCGGAGCCGAATCAGGGAATTAAGAGATGGACACCAAATTAATAATTGCCATGACCTTTCAGCTTATATGATAAAATTAAAGGTTTGGTTCTACCCTATGCTGTGCAGTGGTTATTAAAGCCCAGGACTGGGGAACAGGGATTTGGTGGGAGCCAATGCGGGCCAGTGACGCTGCGCCTCTTAAGGCAATGGAGCAATTAGAGAGATTTCTCCCTGGGCATCAAACTGCTGTTGCCAGCATCAAACGTTTAATTAAACTGGTCTGGGTATATTAAGGATCAAATTAGAGGAGGGCAGCTGCAAATCTGTGCTCCATTTGCAACCCCGAGGCTAGTCACACCAAATACAGGCTCACGGGGGTTTTCTTCTCTCTGACAGCAAGGGGAAACCTCAGTGGCCACACTCAGTAAGTCACTCAACAATGGGTTCAAGTCGTTTTCGCACAAATGCGTTTTCAGATCAGGAAAGCGGCAGTTACTGTAAGTTATTTACATCTGTGAACATCAGGCTCCCGTTTGAACAGATAAGTCTTTATTCCCCTGTATGTTTACATAATAAATTGTTTACAGACCTTTTTTTTTTTAACACAAAACTTGCGTAGCAATGTTTAAATTTCATATTTTTACTGTAGAAGGGAGCTTCGCGTACCTCTGTTTGCTCTGTCTTCTTGGGGAGGACATGGTAAAGACCTGTGGTAAGTACGCATCCACGTGACGAGGCGATGTGCAGTAGGGGGAGGGAATACTCACAGGAAAGAGAGGAAAGTCAGGACACTACATCCAAGTGGGGACCCGGAAAGTGTCTTCCGTTCAAGCAACCGCCACCGTTTGGTAACTCTGCCTAAGTCAGCATTACCCAAAGAACCTCCCTCCTCCACCTTAGTGAAAGGAAACCCAGGATAAACAAAGAAGTATCTTGTTACAGATTATCTGAAAAGGAGGCCATCTGGGATTCATTTTGACTCAAGAAACCCAAGTACATCCAACTTCAGGAATATGACTAGGGTGGAAAATGAAAAGACTAACGTTGTGTTGGTAAAATTATAGTCTCTAGAGAGGAATAAAAGATAGCTTTGTATAATCTGGTGTGTTTCAGTAGAGATTTCATTTTAAATATCCCTCTGATAGTTTCTCTGTTCTGGCTGGCAGCCTCTAATTTGCTTAATTTTGTACTTTGGGCAATCTTGTCATTTTTTTGTCCCCAAACTCTAAGTTAGTGGCTACATGATCCTGGTAATGTTGCAGCCAGAGAAAGTTAAAGACTTCTGGAAATTTAGACAAACATCATCATGGGAGACTTGACTTTGGCCCAAGGTATCTACAGTATGAATTTATGCAGCTGAACTCAGATCCCTCCACACTTCTGGGCTGAGGTAATCCCAAAGGTCTCCTCCTTCCTCTAAAATTGCTGAAGGCAGACTGATCCTGACCTGGAGAAAACTGTGTTAGTTCACATCAAAATGATCAATTACCCGCCAGGACAGCAGGAAAGAAAAGTATTATAAGCAAAACTAAAATTTCATCTTGAGAAAAACAGGTTCTTCTCTTGAGTATGTTCCCCTATAATTATTAGCAATCTAAGTTCTATAATTCTAATTCAGGAAGCGCCAAGTTCAATATCAAATGACACTGAACAAAGTGACAACCTCTTTCAGAGGTTATTTTAAAATCTGCATCTTTCCATTTTCTAAACCACTAAAGACAGGTGAAATTATGGCAGTTCCCTTATTCGGAATATTAAGGAAATCAAGACTGACTGTTGTCACTTTCCATTATAAGGTCCTCTCTGGGAATTTTCTGTGGATTATTCTTTTTACTGTCTTCAATAGTAACCATGTTTCATGGCAGGGGGGTGATTTTGCTTTTTGGAAACAGCTAAATGTGACTCAGAACCAAGAGTTATGGGAAAAGATTAATAAGACAGAGAACATACCTCCGGCTGCTAAAAGCAATACTAATTAGATAGTAATTCAGTGGATTTTCTTACACCTTATTACTGTCCATGACAGTGTTTCTAAGGACAGGGGTGGTTTCAGAATTAACTTAAATGAAGGCAGCACCGTTAGAGTAGTATTAACTTCCCAAGTAAAACCAGATGCCTTTGAGGGGAACAACACTCACTGAGTGGCCAAAATTCTGACAGGTCTGCTAAAGAAATCATTAATTATGACTGTAGCTAAGACTGTCCATTTAAACCTTATCTCCTCCGAGTCCTGTGTTTTTACAAATACTGGGACTTATATTTGGTGATCTAGTTATTTGAATGCTGTAAGGGGGGAAAAAAAACTTGTGATGTGTTCTGGTATAGTTACCACTCTTGCACAGTTGGATTAAAGCAAATCAGAAACATATGCTTATAGTATCTGCCCATTTTTAAGTGCCAGATCACTGATTATATATTTTAAAAGAATTGCAGTCTTCTGATACTGTTTTGTTGGGATAGGTAGGGCCATTAAAAAACAAAACAGAATGATACTTAGATACTTAAAAAAGAAAAAAATCTATGTCTCAAACTGTCCAATAATGTAGGCTTCTATTCGGATAACGAAGGAAGAGCCGCTCAAGTAGTAAAGGGCTATTATAATTCTCTAAAATGTAAATACTGCCCCAGTAACACTAAGAACTACAGAAGGGAACTAAAGAACATCAGGATAATACAGATCCTTCATAGTCCTTCCCAAGCATCATAATATGTAGGCAGAATGCTAGAACTCCACAAGCTTAAAGACTATCCAGTCCAAACTCATCACCGTACACCTAAGGTACAACCACTCCTAGAACTGGAGCACCTGCTGACAGCTACTTGGCCAGTGACTGGCAAAGGTCAGGGAGCAATCCCAGGGGGTCTGTCCTGCCCAGGCCTCTTCTCCCACGGCTCGACCTTACGTCCCACACCTGTGAGATGAAGTGGATAGACTATAGGCTGGTCTCTCTTAACTTGCTTGTGGCTCAGTCTAGAGTTTCGTGTGTCTCCCAATTATCAGAGGCTGTAGTGTCTCTAATGTCCTATCAATAAACCCTTTTAGCTCAGGGATGAAGCTATAAACTAACGGAGGTCCCATTTACCGAGTCACTCACATGGATTCCTAACTTAACAGAAAAATAGTTCTCCCCTTTGAGGCCCTATTTCTAAAGAATAAACCCAAGATGATTTTATGTCATTATTTCCCTCAGACTTCCTCCATCCAGTCAAGTCTGTTCATTTTCATTAACAGTCTCCATTAAGCTTTCATGAGCCAGACGACTAGGGAATATATCTCAATGTGATTATGGGTAATACAAGAAAGGAACAATTTAGAGATACCAAATTTCTAAACTGTACTCTTCACTTCAATTAAATCGAGAAACTAGATGTTCCATTATATTTCTAACATGTATATGTGTGAACAAAAATCAAATTGGAAAATATAGGCATAAAACATTGTTCTTATTTAAAAATAAACATTTCCTTCATTAGTTTATACATTCTTTCTATGTCCAGGAAAAAGAATACAGTTTCGATCTTCAGTAATATTCCTGTCCATAACGGGGCAAACCGAGTCCCATTTTCACTGCTGTCCCATCATGGAGAGCTCTTCAAGGACATCTTTTTTTATCTTCAGCAGGAAGGTTGTGCCTCCCTCAACTTTGGAAATGATCCATTATCCTAACAGAGGCCTTTACTTAGCTCATCTAGTTCCAGCCGGCACAGGAAGTATTTAAAGTCAGAAGGAAGACTGAAAAATTCAGACTTTCCCTCCGATGCCTTTCAAAGGCTGTTCTCACATTTCTGGGGTCAAAGCTTGACCTCCAAAGTGCCGTGATTTGTAGGCCGTTGTTGCCTGCTCAACTTTCTTCCCCACCCCCCTTAAAGTGCAAACGTGTGGAAAAAGAAACAAAAGTACTAGATAAACAAACAAATGAGCGTGGAATTTTATTTGTACAAATCTGATCAATTAAGAGTTTCCCCTTCTGATCATGGAAAGTGGCACTCAAGGAAGAGAACCACAACGGACTTCTCCGTGCCCACCTCATTTCAAAAGGGCAATTTTATAAAATTGCTTTCTATGGGAGGAAAAACAAAATACACTCCAACGAGTAAGGACATATACAGAGGGTGACCATGAGGCATGTTGTCATGTCAGTGCAGGGTCCTTTATTTATTTTATGAACAATATTCTAAGGTTAGTGAGGAACTACGCTTTGTTTTGCTTTTTAATCTAGGAAGCCAAGGAAAACCAACTGGACATATTCCGCTATTCCGCTGGCTGCATCCTTCGATTCAAACATCAGAGAGAAAGAAAGGTAAGTAGCCAGAATCAAATTGTGCCTAGCTTGTCAGCACACTTATTTCTGATTATCTGAAAATAAACAACATGCTTATTCTACAAAGACAGAGGACCTGCTGAAAGCTTACAGCAACACACAAGTCTACTCAAAATGATTCCATATGTTACACTGTAGGATTGCTGTGTAGTTATACAAGGGAAAGAGATCAAAACCCTGTACAGACACCTGATATCAGACTTGAAACGCCAAGTGGAAACAGAACTATTCAGCGTCTTCATTTATACACAATTTACAATATTTGATTCAAAATAAAAATCACAAGAAAAATACATCTGTTTCTGCTACAATTCCTTCCCCTCCCCCATCCACCCCCCAGTGAAAAGTCTTCTAATAAAAGGTATCATATTACCACCATTGTCTCATTTTGGTCTAATTCTGAGATCCCGGCTCGGGACAGTTAACATGAAAAGGAATGGCAATACTTGGGTTTTATATAACGTACACATTTTATCCAAGGATCTCAAGTACTTGCAGTCACGTCTCCAGATCTGAGAAATCACGGTTCAATGGAAGCCAGAATGCTGGATGAATGCTGGGCAGGTTGCATGGGGTGTAAAATCCCTTGGCTAGGTCTACGATCAAACAAGGTCAGAGCTGGTGGGCTAGAGCTGGGCTCAATTGCTCTTTTCAAACACATCTCATCCGTCAGTCAGTTTTACCCTCTCTTAAGTCACACCCATCTCCAGGCTACTGCCCAGAGTCAAGACCAACTGAAGAAGCCACGTCCTCATGATATAATGCAGCAGCGTAAAAAGCAAAAACAGAGAAACACATTCATCAGCATCTGGCCAAAGGAGACAGGGGCTGAGAGGATTGGTCTGGGAGGCCATTCCTAGCAAGAATGAGACAAGGGTGTCAATTCACTAGTTTCAGTTACAGTTAAGCTTTGGGTGGAGTTGATTCCAGCAGAGAAGCTCATGGCATCTAGCGCTTGATTTAAGATAATGCTATTGAAGAAGGGTAATGAGAAAACACAGCAAACTAACAGGGAGGAACTGGCCAAGGAATATCTGGAGGGCCAAAGTGATTTTCTTTCCTTATCGTTTCTACAGGAGAAGGCAAGGGGTAGGAGATAAGGGCCAGAGGGCCCTTTATTCGTAGATTTTTTAAAAAATCCTTTTTTCTTATAACTCCGTAATGAAAACGTGTATTACGGTGTGAAGGTTACAGAATTGCCTCTGCTACTGGGTCCCGGCTACAGGTCTATGAGCTGATCCACCAACAGTAAAGACCTGGCTAGGTTGGGAAGACTGGACTCAGAGCTCCCACTGCTGTTTCTAGAGTGCCCACCTGGAAGTGGAGAGATAGGAATTCAGTACAAAACAGAGAGGGTTAAGGTTTAGATGTGCAGAGCAAGCAAAGGAGAAACCAAACCAAACCCTAGAGAAGCAAAGTTTACATTTGCAAACTCTTACATGTTGATTTTTAAGCATACAAGCTAGGTATCCACCACCTCCCACCAAAACTCCAGGCACACCACACTAGAGGCAGAACACCTTGCAAAGAGGATGCTATTTTCAAATGAATAGACATTCTGCCTGAGAACTGCTGGCTGGACCCTAACTTCCTGATAACATCGAATCATCTCCCTGACAAAGTAAAAATCAACAGTTTTTGCTTTGGGGAGAAATTAGTTACTAAGACCACTGCAATAGAAATGGGCTTTAAGAAATATATAGATGATCCCATGGCAATTCAGGGTCTCATGGCACATTGAAATGATTTTAACCCATCAGAGAGGATAAAGGATGCTTCACGAATGTCCAAAAGATGCAAATGGTATCCAAGTACCATCCTTCATCTCTTTGGGAAGAATATTTATTACAGATTATTCTAATCATGCTCAAGAAATGTTCCGTGCTTTTTAAAAAATATATGCCTTCCGGTTTTCACTAAGTTTCCACTTTATTTTTCTCTTGATAACTTTGTAAAAGCCAGATTTTGGTCAAAGTATTAAATACATTCCTTCTAACTAAACACCACGGCCAAGCTTTAAGATAACTGTATCTCCATCTGTACCTGTATCTCTATCTTATCCTGCTTCAGCCCCACGGTCTGCCATTATCCCCCGTTTCCTTTGTTAAGTGCAGGTGCTTTTTTCCCCTCTTGGAGATTAGGTACATTACTATTTTGTAGTGAGCTGTGATGTCCAGCTCTTCTCTTTTCCACATCCTCTCTTTCTTACCTTGTGGGTTTTTGGTTATCAATACAGGAATAGGGTCAAACTCATCTTCTGCCACCTTGTCCGAGCCCTCAGGGACATCAAAACCTGAGATGAGATTACTATCTTCCGCAGCTTAATACAGAATGCAAGTACACAAGCAGAAACAACAGAGGTAGAGATTAGCAAATGAGAGAACATGTAAGGGCATAAAGTTCCCAACTATACAATCGCTGTTGTTTTTGAAGGTGAAAATGCTTATTTTCATGACTTGAAATAAAAGTAGCAAAACTGGAAAATAGGGAAACAGAAAAAAAATGGTTTCAAGCTGGCCATGTTAAGACTTTCATAAATGGTCAGGGAGAAGTGTTAGAGGATGAATTCTCCGCTACCGTTTTAAAACCACTCATTGTAGTTACTGTGAGGGATCTCTTCAGTGCCAGTAATTCACAAAGGCCCAAGAACTAGTCATTTATCTTCCTTATTAAGCAAACAGAGGCCTGATTAGCAAACAATACTCAAGAAACTCAAAGCCAGGGGCAGGGGGGAGGTAATTAGTAGCTCTTGAAGAAGCAACTGCTACCTACACTATATGTTAATTAATTGAATTTTAAATTAAAATTAAAAAAAAGAAGCAACTGCTGTATACAAGGCAAATAAAATACTTCTGAAAGGACTTGCTGCCCTGTGACTTTCCATCAACTCTGATGCCTCAGGGAACGCTGGGGCCCAAGATCACATGCCCTGGGATTTCAAGTTTAAGTTTGTTAGAATATTCTCCTCCATTCTAAGATTACCCTATGGGTAAGTGCTAGCTGAGCACCTATTTTGCAAGTGATGTTTCTCTGTAATTACATATCGCTGCTGACACTCCTGCCAGACATAATTGGTTAAACACACGCTCTATAAAAACATAATAATTTTAATGCCATCAAGGATAAAAACAAAAACTCAGCTATTACCGCCATAAACCATAAAACTAATTATTTTCAGACTTCTTGGGGAGGCTTCCTTCTCGAATTTCTTTCAGAATAAACTTACACTGCTCCTTTTCCATACATTTGCTCCTTCCAGAAAACCGACTTCACTACCCCCAGTAGAGAAAGAAGTTTAGTGAACGCCTGCATCCTGTGCCTGTCACTTTTATAAACAGCTCACTGAAGGGAACTCATTTCAAGCTATTTCTGTCCAGCAGCCTTTCAAACTGGTATCAACCCAGGACTAAGAAATGAAAATGGCAGATGAGAAAGAGAAATCCAGTAATCAGTCATGACTCAAAATTTAAACCTTTGCTAAGTTCAGTCTTTGAAGACTGACTTTTGAGGACTTATGCCTGCTGTTTTATTGAGCAATCACTACCCAAAAACTTGAAATAAGATTTGATGAACAATTTTAAGGTCTAAGGCTAATAAGTATATTAATGACAACAGTCAGTCAGTGGACAGTCAACTGAACCATCTACTTGTGCTGACTGCAAAGGCACAGAGCTCTGCCTTTCATGGAGAACAGGGACTATATGCTGTCCCTATGATAGCCGGAAAGCAATGGCTCCACCAATCTGTTGTCTAAGCCTTACGAGGCACTCTTCCCGAGAGGGATTTTAACAGAGAGGCTAAGTACAAACTCGGGTTTCCTACATGAAGGAGGGGGTGAGACCACTTCACTGGCAAAGACTTTCGGTAAGGAAAATTCTCAGGACTCATTCAGTTCTCCTTGAAGGACACATGGGAGCCCGAGGACAGGAAAGCATTTTACCTTTATGGGCTGGAGCAGAGATCGCTATGGGGGCAAACTCTTCCAGAAGGTCAGTAGTAGGGTTAGAAAGCAGGGAGCCATCAATCAGGGAATCTTCCCCGGTGAGAGAATCTGAGTCCAGATTGACAGCATCGCAGGTCAGTGATGGCATTAAATGGCACACACAATATCATGAGATTAGAGTTTAGGCTTGAAGTTACTGCATTTACATGTCATACGTACAAGCCAAGGCGGGAGAAAGAAAACCACAAGTAACATGTTAAGCCCCCAGCATTTTCATTGATAGAAACATGTACTTCTAGATTCCTCTTAACATCAACAACATCAAATATGGAATACTTCTTTGCTCCGACGTTGCTGGGTCAGCAAATATGTGATCTGGATGCCAAGAACCCTTCAGCAACTCAGTTTTCAGCAAATGCCACTTGGGGAAAAAAGGATTTTGCCACTAAAGAGTTTCATTTAAACTTTCCCTAAACAATCGGGGGGAAAGGTATGACAGGGTGAGGTATTGAAGCTGACTAGGAGGGGGATGTCCCTGGCTTATTATCAGCAGAATATGACATGGTTAAGCAGCATTTTCTAAATCTCAACCAGATCCCCATTCAAAATAAAATGATCTTGCTTCTTAATAATATTCTTTCAATTTGAATTGCTTCTCTGAATATATGATTTTTCTTTTGGGTGAGGAACAGAGAGAAGGCAAAATATGGAGCTCAAGCATTTTAACATATAAATTGTTCTCTGGGGAAGTTTTGGACAAGTCAAGTAAGCAAGAGGCAAAGGAACCATCTCACCTTCTTTGTTCATCCCCCCACCCCCACCTCCTTGAGTTTATTTTCATAGTTCCCAGACTTCCAATTGTTTTCTGTCCCAAGGTAGGAAATCAGACACTTTTACCAAGGTAACTATGGGCTCGATAAAAATGCAGGCTATCAACTCTGGATTTATGGATAGTAAAGGATTCTATTAAGAGAGAAGTTTGAAATTAGGGTAAAAACAATGCCGGACCAGGGAAGATTTCAACTCTGCCTATAATTTAACAGCAAACCATCCATATAAGCTAAAAACACTGGACTGGGAATAGAACGTCCACATCCAGAGGGTGAGCTCCACGAAGTTACTGACACCACTCGCTGGAAAGTGGCTCAGAAACCTTGGAGGAGTCCAGTCATCCCTGCAGCTCAGCAGAATTTTTTAGAGAAGGGGGTGCAGGGAACCTGACACCAGTGAAAAGAATCTTAAATAAGGAAATACCATAACCAGAGAAAGTCCAACGACCGCTCTACAGAGAACATGGCTCCAAAAATACTCTGCTCTTCGGCTTGGAATCGTATCACTCAACTTCTAGAAGCTGGGGCTGTACCCCCATTCTAGGGGCATCTGACCATTCTAGGGGCAAGTGACCAGGCTGCAAAAGAAGAGGGTCACCTGCTGCAGATGGAAAGGCTGACCGCGAAGGCCATCACAGTGAACGGTCCCTGCAGCTGCAGAGAGACCGGACTGACCTGTGCGGTTCGAGGCCACAGATTCCGTCTGAGATGGAAGGCGCTGGGGCACTGGGGGCTCCAGTCCTGGTATGAGACTCTCAACAGCAACATCGGCCTTTTCTTTTGTAACAAAGCATTAAGAAAGGAGAACAGAGGGTAAGGGGAGAGGAATCAAAAGGTTCTTTAGACAATTCTGTGGAGGCTTTCTTCTACGGGGCTCTCAAGTGCCAGGCTCGGGCAAGATGGGCAGCCCAAGAAGTTACTGAATGTCTGCTGTCTGGGCTTCCCTGACTGAGCATGCATGCGCAGGGTTAACTGCTCTGATGAGTCCTGGCGAGTCTTGGTTTTTACAGATAAATGTAGAATACGGGCCACCTAGCAGATTTCTTCCATGTCAGAAGACACAGGCTGAAAGGCACCATAATATCTTACGGTAATTTTGCTTTTCTTAAGGGATGAACCTGGGGGCAGAGGTCCTCTGTGCCTCGAAAAGGCCACGAGTCCATCTCAAATCCCACCCCCTGCTGTAGCGGGGAGGTATTTCACGCTGTCTGACATCCCACAGCTGGAGGCCCCCGCCCCCCCTCGGCTCATGTCCTTTCTGAGTTTGAGGACTATGGGCCCCAGAGTACAGGGGACCTTGACATCTTGTACGTCTCGCCTGCCCTGCTGTAGGAGCACAGGGCAATAGCAGACTGAGTGGACCAAGCCCCTTGCCTGGATTCTACTCGTGGGGCTTCACCACTGGGCAAGTGTTTCCTGTCACTGCTTGGCTAGTGATGCCCGTTACAGATACGTGGCACATACGGGGCCTTCTAAAGAAGAATCTGCTAAAGGTAAGGTCCCCGCTTGAAACCAATTTCCTTCATGAAGGTTTTGTAACTAATGGTGAATTTTTTCCATTCCTCCTCATTCAAAAACAAGTCCCTCTAGACATCTCAGGCAAAGCAAACCTAACTGTGGTGTCCTGGGAAGGCAGAGAAAACTCTTCCTTTGGGGTGATAGCAAATAAGACTAAAGGAGGCTTTGTGGCACTTTCCACTCCTCAGAAGGGCTATCCCCTGGGGATCTGCTAACCAGTTAGTGATCGTTCTTGAAACAGGCACATATATCATGCAGGACTGAAAAAAAAGAGACGACGACTTTACCAATTACAGCATCAGAAGTGCTACCAAAAGGGTCTGTCATAGGCAAGAGGTCAGGGAGCAGGAGAGAAGTGTCAGGAGATTTGAGTCCCTCAATTAGTTTTTCTAGGTTGGGCAGAGAGGCAAAGAGAAAGCAAAAATGCAATGAGATATTAAAGCAAGTTGATCATTTACCATTTTCTATACAAACACATTTTGGGGTCAAACTTTTATACCAATTCATCATAAAAACAAAGACTGTTAGTATCTTTTACTGTTAATTAAAAATAAGCTTCCAAAGTTCAAAATTTAAAAGTGATGATTTCCCCAGGTGAAGTAGTCACTTTGTAAGTCATTCAAGATACTGCCCTAAGTTTGTTTGTTTTAAAATTTGAGGTATAAGTATTTACCCAAAGGATACAAAAATACTGATTTGAAGGGACACATGCACCTTTTATAGCAGCAACAGCCAAACTATGGAAAGAGCCCAAATGTCCATCAACTGATGAATGGATAAAGAAGATGTGGTCCATACATATGTATACAATAAAATATTACTCAGCCATCAAAAAGAATGAAATCTTGCTATTTGCAACACCATGGATGGACCTAGAGGGTATCATGCTAAGTGAAATAAGTCAGTCGGAGAAAGAGAAATAACATATGATTTCACTCATGTGGAATTTAAGATACAAAACAGATGAACATGGGGGGGGGAGAGAGAGACCATAAAACGGACTCTTAACTATACAGAACAAACTTGAAGATCGCTAGAAGGGAGGAGGAGAGGAGGGGGAAGGGCGAAATGGGTGTGGGTATTAAGGAGGACACTTGTTGTGATGAACACTGGGTGTTGTATATAAGTGATGAATCCCTAAATTCTACACCTGAAACTAATATTAGACTGTATGTTAACTAACTGGAATTTAAGTAAAAAGTTAAAAAAAATTTGAGGTACAATGTACACTGAATAAAAGCCACCAATTTCAAGTGTACAATTTGCTGAGTTTTGAGAAATGCACACATTCATGTAAGCACCACTGAAATGATGTGGCACATTTCCATTATCCCCAAAATTACCCTCGTACCTATTCTAGTCAGTGCCATCCTGTTACCCTCCAGACCCTGGCAACAACTGATCTATTTTCTGTCCCTATACTTTTGCCTTTTCTAGAATTTCCTATAAAGGGAACCATAGAGTAGGTACTCTCTTCTGCCTGATGTCTTTCATTTTTTTTTTTAAAGATTTTATTTATTTATTTAACAGACAGAGATCACAAGTAGGCAGGGAGGCAGGCAGAGAGAGGGGGGGGAAGCAAGCTCCCTGCTGAGCAGAGAGCCCGATGAGGGGCTCGATCCTAGGACCCTGGGATCATGACCTGAGCCGAAGGCAGAAGCTTAACCCACTGAGCCACCCAGGCACCCCTGATGTCTTTCATTTAACATAATGCTTTTGAGATCCCTACCTGTCATGGCATAGTAGTGTGTTTGTTTTGTTGTTGTTTTTGTTTTGTTTTTTTATTGTGTTATATTAGTTACCACATAATACATTAGTTTTTGATGTAGTGTCCCAACATTCATTGTTTACTTGTAACACCCAGTGCTCCATGCAATCTGTGCCCTCCTTAATACCCATCACCAGGCTCACCCAATCCCCCATTCCCCTCCCGTCTAAAATCCTCTGTTTTTTGGAGTCCACAGTCCCTCTCATAAATCATCTCCCCCTCCGATTCCCCCCCTTCACTTCTCCTTTTCTTCTCCTAATGTTCTCCATGCTATTATTCCTTATGCTCCACAAGTAAGTGAAACCATATGATAATTGACTTTCTCTGCTTGATTTCTTTCACTCAGCATAATCTCCTCCAGTCCCGTCCATGTTGATGCAAAAGTTGGGTAGTCATCCTTTCTGATGGCTGTGTAATATTCCACTGTGTATATGGACCACATCTTCTTTAACCATCCGTCTGTTGAAGGCTATCTTGGCTCTTTCCACAGTTTGGCAATTGTGGACATGCTGCAAAGTTTGTTCAGTTTTATTGCTGTGTAGTGTTTCAGTGTATGAATGTACCACATTTTGTTGAATCATTCACCAGTTGATAAGACATTTGGTTGTTTCTAGTTTTTAGCTATTAAAATAAAGCTGCCATAAACATATGCATATAAGTCTTTATGCATTCATATCCCTTCCTGGGCTTAGTTTCGAAAAAAAATTTTTGGACTTGCATTTAGAAATGCTGTGTAACTCAGCAAGTGAATCAAAATATGTCTAAGTTAACTTCAACAATCATTTATTGTCTGCCAACTGAGAGCCTGTGACAAGCTGGTACACTTATCATCCTATGGTCAAATCTCATGAAATGCACTTAAACCTGAAGACGGATTACTTCTCATGTCTTCTGGCTGGGAAACAAAAGGATAGAAGAAGCTGCCAGATTTGTCACACCCGATAAGTTAATGTGTGGTAAGTGCACACATTAAGATTTCTTCATGATTTTTTCAGCCTTGATCCATCAACAAGTCTCTATTTATCTTCAACTTATTAAAGGTAGAGAGCATTACTTGAAACAAAATCCTGAATCACAGAATCTTACACAAAGAAGGGAATTAAGAGCTCAACCTCCTTTTACTTGTAAAGAGGTTGAGGCCACATAAACTCTTTAACTTGCCCTGTTAAAAGCCTGCTGACATTCTTTTTTCTATCACAGAAATAACATGCCATTAAGGTAAAACTAAAATGAAAATGTCTGAGAAAAGGAAGCGACTTAAAGTTCAAGTAGGTGTACAGAACATTTTAATGAATCTGCATTCTTCTAGGCCATCAGGAATCAAGATAAATAAAGACAAAATTGGTATTTGTTGAGGGACTGAAACCAAATCATGGATTTTAATGTCTTGGCAAGATAATTTGCTTTGGTACAAGTAACACACTGCAGAAAAAGATTTTTATATGTGATATCAATTTACCATCTTTGGATGTGGATATCTTTGAGTTAAATGACAATCTGCTAACTTTCTCTCATTTACGCCTGGTATTTATATTGAAGAAAGGAAGAGAGAGGAAAAGAAGCTTCTCAACAGCAGAGGGGGAAAAACCCCAGAGTACTGACCAAATATCCAAGCATAATCACATCAGCATTAATCTTGCATCATGCATAACATCTTATTAGCAAAAAAGATGTTTAAAAATGTGACAGTTTTTAGCATAAAGGCAAAAAGAAGATGGTCTTCTTGAAAAGTCTAATTCTTCATTATGCTGCACACTAGCTTCTGTTTTACACCGAAAAAGAGCTTCTTTCATGTGCAGGAAAGTAATTATTTGCTTCTTTCACTTTTAGCACTCACACAATCACAATCTCAAAGCAATGGATAGAAAGTAACAGACTCCCAAATTACCTGCTTATCTTTCAAACACTAGTTTATCTCGGTGATAAAGCTTGGGCTAGCCAAATGCGAGTCTGAATTCTAGCCTCTCCAGCGAGAGGTTGAGACCATGGGGTTGGTCCTCGAACTTCTGTCCTTACTTCCTCAACTGTACAACGGACATACCTCCTACCATGTTTCTGTACTGGTCTTTCAAGTATCATCTCTTCTGCTCCTTTCCCGATCCTCCCTGCCACATTGGGAACCGTCTGGACCACTCTGCACTTACTTTTCTTGCAGCCCTTACAAAGGACTATAGACAGGGAAGCTATCTTCTTAGTCTCTGTATCCCCAGTTCTCAGATTTTCCTCTCGTATCTTACGTCACATCTCTGCTTCATTAGGGAGGTGGGGAGGAAGAGGGGGTCAACCAGAAAGTCAGGTACTTCAGTAAGAACTGAATATTTTTATTAGCCATTAGCAAAAAGATAACATGAGGGGGATAAAAAAAAAAGTACTTGTGTACATGTCCGTGCTTGTGTGCGTGTGTGTGGTGAGACAGACAGGGTGCGGATGGGGTAAGTTGCCCAATTTAGGGGGCTTATCTTCTGACCGAACCTCAAGTAACGGGTAATTCACACGGCTAGTCTGTATGGTCACTGCTGCTCAAGAATCCTCGAATACTGACACGTGGGAGGGAGGAGCAGGAACAGGGCAGGAGCAGATAGAGAACTAGGAGTGAGGGCACAGACGGAGTGTGCAATCCAAATCCGCCATACCTAGCGCTTTCGAGAGGACAGAAGACTCTCAGCGACTCAGTGTGGGTGTCCAGCAGCCTTTCTAACTACGGTTATCACTTCCCTTTGTAGAGTTCAATGTCAAGCATTTTCATCCATTATTCACAAAAAGACCTGGGTTTGGGAATACGGATGGAGTTGAGAAGGATGGTGAAAGAGACTGTGTGCCTGGCCCAAAGTCACAGATGGAACATGGTAGAGCTCGGACTTGACTTCACAGTTTCCTCCACATGCTGCCTACAGGGTCTGCCTATGTTCATTGACATGGGAGAACAGGTTTTCACAGAGCCATGGTCCCCCGCACAACGGCCAAATTAGCAAAGACACATTGGCCCTGGGAGGAGCCTCAGATCTTACTCAATTAGCCTTCTCGATTACAGATGAAGGAATCAGTTCCAGAAAGGCAAAGCCACTTGCCTGAGAGCTTAGAGCAGGTAAACCAGAGAGCTAATTAGGACTAGGACCCCAACCTTCTACATACTAGAGATTCAGTCTTCCGGTTGAACTAAGGCTTTGGTTGCTTTAGAAAGTGAAGACTCTTAGAAAAAGTCACATCTCAAGGTATTACTGCTCATTTTTGATCACTTTAAGTGAAGAACCAGAGAACAGGGTGTAATGGGCTGCACAAGGAAGGCTACAGGAGGCTGAGAGTTTCTAAATCACGGCCGGCAGGCCTTCCATGTGCAGCACGGGCCGCCCTTGATATGACTCATGTTAGGAATTCTATCTGCTCTCTGAGAGTTACAGAAAGAGGCTCTGAGAGACCACGTGTCATGAAGGGGGTGGATGGGGACCAGCAGTGCCGAGAAGAGGGTGGTGAATTTAGGAACATGTGCGGAGAATGTTTTTTAAGATCCCAAACCTCAAGTAAGTTCTCCCTGGGCATTTCACGATTTGTTGACATCTAATGAGGCTACAGATGCCTGGGATTAGAGTGAGAATGGGCAGAGTTTCAGATTTTACCCACGTG